AATTGAGGACAATTTGGACAATAGAATACAAAAAATTGAAAATGATTTGACAAACACTCAAGACAATAGCTCAGAAGAAAAACCTAAAATGGAGGCTGATCAAAAGACTTGTAATGCAGAAAACATACAACAACGGATTGAAAGAGAAGTTTTAATGATGCAATATAATTTTACTGAATATGCGATTAGACTGAGAGGATTGCAGGAAAATAACAGAGATTTAAGGAAAATATCTTCTGAAATTCTGGCTGGGATCTTAAAGGTTCAACCTGAGGAAGTATTTTGTAGGATTGATAGAGTTTATAGAATAAATTCCTGGATTGCAAAGCAAAGGCAATTACCTAGAGATGTGGTGATTTATTTTACAGATAAAGAAATAAGAAATAATATTGTGCAAAATTCCTTTAACTCTACTTTGCAATTGTTTGGAAGAAAGATTTGGATATACAAAGAGCTCCCGCTCAAGATGTTATCGGAAAGAAAAAAATTTGGTTTTCTGGTGTCTGAGCTTAAGAAAAGAAATATTTTATTCAGGTGGGATGCTCCAGTTGGTATAATATTGAGATATCAAGGAGAAAGATACCAACTAAATACTGTTGAAAAAGCGGAAGAATTTTATCAAAAAAAATTGAAAATGAATTTAACATCTTTATGCATAATACAGGATAAGCAGAAGGAGTTGGAAACAAAGGGAAAATATCAAATTATAGAGGCTGCTGTGGACAAATTGCCTTTGGATTCTTTAGACACCTCAGCTGGATTATCTACAAATATGAGAGAAGTGGTATCGGACTCTAACGTGATGACTCATCAAGTCACAGATAAGCATGGAAACCAATTAGCTGATACACAATTGACAAAAAAGAAGTATGAGACACAAAAGCAAAACCAACAAGATCAAGTCATAAAGCAGAATGAAAACCGATTAGCTAATATACAACTTGTAGAAAGGAAACCAGGATGGAGATCAAACCCACAAAAAGAAAAGAAAAAAAGAAATAGGTCTCACAAAAACAAAAACTTCTAAATTAAGCAACAGTGAAGCCAGTTATTTTTTTAAAAAAATGACTGAATATATGAAAAGATAGTTGAGGCGAAGTATTGGTTAACATTATCCTGAGGAGAGTGACAGACCTCTGCAATGCCGTAATTTGGGGATGTGAAAAGAGCCTTGAATTGTTGGATTGGAATTATCTATTTTGGATTTCTTTTTTTTTATTGATAAATGTATTATATTTATCTTGAGCTATAAGGCAAGAGAGCTTCGCTGGGGCACGCAGAAGATCTGGTTGTTACCCATTATGATGATGGGAATTAAAAATCCTGATGAAAGCCACAATTACAATTATATGGAATATAATTATAATGTCACTCGGGTGGTTGTTTCTTTTTATATATATATATATGAGGATATTCATTACTGATGGGGGCAGATGATGACTGAGGATTTTGAACAAACTGTTGCAACCGGGATGCTATGTTACCCAAATATGGATGATGGACTCAACAATCCAGTGGAAAGATATCAAAGAAGACATTATATGGATTATAAATTTAAAGTCATTGATTTTTTCTATATAACGGAATATTTTTTTTTTAGCAGGGTGGGCAGTAGATTAAAGTTATTAAGAATTGTTGTGCATGGTAATTTTGTAGGAAAGTGGGTGGAAATAGGTTAGTTTACTGTTTGTTTAGTTTAAGAAAAGGGATGTTTAAGTGATATATTTAGGGGAGTGGAGGAAATGGATAGAGTTGAATATGTTAAATTAAGATTTATGGGGAAGGCTGCTTTGAAATGTCATATTAATATATACAAAAGATTAAATGTTAAAGTAGGATTTATTATATAGTCCTAAAGTGGAAGGTTATTTGAATTGTTATATATATAAGTATGGGGGAGGAGGAAAAAAGGCAGATTGTTGCTAGATTGGGAGTTATAATAATATTATTATGCTAAATTAGAAGTTATTATATAATGTTATTTTGAAACGTATGGTAAAAGGGGGAAGTAATAATATTAATAATATTACTAGCATGTAAGGGTCAGTATTTAGAGGAGGGAGTAAGGGGATGGTAAAATATTATATTATATAATCTGTTATGAATTAGGTTTTTTGTTGTGAAGAAGTCACAGGGGGGGATGGGTGGTGAGGGGGGGTTAGGGAGGAGGGGGGAGAAAAATGGGGGGGAAATTTGTATTTGAAAACTTTTTCAATAATAAAAAAAAACAAAAACAAAAAGACATATACAACCTCCTGGCCAGTGGTGGGTTTCAAAATTTTTTACTACCGGTTCTTTGGGTGTGGCTTGGTGGGCGTGGCATGGCATGGTGGGCATGGCATGGTGGGCGTGGTAGTGGAAGGATACTGTAAAATCTCCATACCATCCCCAATCCAGGGAAAGGTTATTGCAAAATCCCCATTTCCTCCTGATCAGCTGGGGTTTGGGAGGCAGAGAATAGATGGGGGCAGGGCCAGTCAGGATTTTTACTACCGGTTCTCCAAATTACTCAAAATTTCTGCTATCGGTTCTCCAGAACTGGTCAGAACCTGTTGAAACCCACCTCTGCTCCTAGCACCAGCTGTATAATCACTAAAATGAGAGAGAGAAAACCCATTATTCTAGAGAAATACTGATGGCAATAAGGACAGAGGCAAAATTCAGATCTATGAAGTTGGCACAATATTCAGAATAAATTATAATGGTGACTGGTATCACAGCTCTTGCAGAATATAGAAGAATATTCTGGGAAGAATAAATGAAAATGTTCCACTTGTGGTCCCACCATACTTTATCTAACGCGTGATGTGATGGTGATGTGTCTATCCTACCCTACTCTCTGTACAAATGGTAGGGAAGTATCATGGAAAATGGCTCCTGTCACTCATTGTTTTTCTGCTGTGAGCCAGCCCTAGAACCCTTTCACTTCTCCAATACTTTGTTTCACTTATGCACAAAGCCCCCAAGTGAGTAATTCCTTTCATGTCTTTCTTGGGATTCTTCAGTCTGAGCTGTGAAATTCTACAAATTTGTTCCTAAAAAGGCCATATGACTCAATAGAGGCATACAAACCTCAAGAAAACTGAAAATATTGTGTTGTCTCATTTCATCTGTCACCAGCAGTAGAATTCTGCACCATACCAAGATGGTGATGCTTTGTTTGACGTAGGGCTCATGGGGCAATCTCTTCAATAATAAGCTAATTGCACCAAAGTATATTAGACGTCATTTCACATAGTCAGAGTGTTCAAAGAAATGCCGTCCTTTTCACATATCATAAGGTAAGACAATAGCCCTCAGAAGCAGGCTCACTGGAAGAAAAAATTGGCAGCACTTCAAAATGGCCTTATTTCACCTGTGAAAGGAAGTTAAGAGGAAGCCAATGAGGGCCATGTTTCAGGGACCCTGGTCAGCAAGGTTTTTATAGATTGTGTGTGATGGAGTTGGAGCCTGCAAGGAGGCAGGGTAAAGCACACTGCAGGAAACCTTTTCCTGTTCACAGCAAAATTTAAGGGCGATTATAGGAATGGTTATAGGAGTCTTCAAAAATCTCTATCATGACAGCAGTCGCTGTGTAAAGATTGGTAGTAGAGCTCCTGATTTTTTTCAACATCGATACTGGTGTTAGACAGGGCTGCATGTTATGTTATCACCCTTTCTGTTTCTCCTCACCATCGGTTTATGGGCCAAATGCTGAAATTCCCTGGAAGAATCACACAAGACTCACAGATCTTGATTTTGCTGACAATGTTGCTACCAACTTAGACAATGAGCCTAGAAAGTATGACTACGTATTAGTGCAGATAAGACCAATCATGTTGATTGGGAGTCACCCTCCCAACACATTAATCACAACTGTCTATCAGCCAATAGAACCTGTGCAACAGTTTACATATCTCGGTAGCATCTTATCACAAGATGGCAGCATAGATGCAGATATCAAACACAAAAATTGAGAAAGTCTCAGCAGTATTCCAGGGCTTATGATCTACCGTATTTGGTCAGCTCCAGCAATAGATAAGAAGACCAAGTTACAGCTTTATAAGACAATTGTTGTGCCGACAGTGATCTATGCCAGTGAAACATGGGCATTAACAGCATGGACAGCACAAAAGCTCTGTGTATTCCTTCAATGTTGCCTACAGAAAATTCTGGGTGTCACTTGGCATGAGTGTGTCATCAATGAGGAAATTTTCTGGCTCAGTGAATCCAGGAAGTTGCAAGAATTGTGACAGAATGTCAAATTCACCTAGCTGGCCATAATTTTTTGCTTGCCAGAACATTGATACCTGAAAAACGCTGTAAAATGAGAGCTGCCAGAGGGAAAGCAAAGACCACACAAAACTTGGCACCAGACATTTAAAGATGACTTATGGACAAATGCAAAGATGCTAAAGATGCTGCTGCGGATAGGATTCATTGGAAGAAGTTGATGCCCTATGTGTTTTGTGCAAAAGGAACCAATGATGATGATGATTGATAGGAATGGCACTGCTTCAGTCTCAATCTCTTTCATTTTTCAGCTTTTCTAACCGGTCCAGGTTTGTCCGATATGGTACAATACTCTTGTGATGCCACTCAGTCCACAATAGAACCGTGACACTGCAGACACAGCTAGCTAAACTGTCCAGTTGTACACCTTCCTTCTCAACTAACAGTCCAACTTTCTCATTTCAAACAAGTCAACTTTTTTTCATGTTTCATGATCTGCAAACCCTCAATGTTGCTCAGTCTTAAATTCAAATTAAACACAATCGTAAGTAGATTACCTGGCAATAATTCACATAGAGTTAACAATTAAAATCCTAAGCAATTATTTCCAGCACTAACTTGGAGCCAACAATTAATTTGTTTAATCTTTAAGCAAATAACTAATTATCCCTTTTTTAACTGGAACACTGAGATTTCCTTTCAAAAGTTTTAAATGAAATGAAATAAAATGAAATGCAGTTTCTAATCTATTGTATTTCTACAATATGCTGACTAGAGTCAATACATACCTTACTTTGATCTCAAGAGCAAATTGACATTCGATCTCCTCTCTGGTCTTAGGTAATGACTGCAGATCTGGAAAACTTAAGGCTAAAAGCTCATTCGAATTTCAGTATCCTTCTTGTGCCGGTTACCAGGGAGCATCAAGTCAGATCATGCAAGTTTTATAAGATCGATCCAACTTAGAAGTTGAGCAAACTTCCCAGTTGCCCAAGATCTGGCTATGGGCGTGCTAAGATAATAAAATAAAATTGAACTCTCCTTCAAGTAGAACTCATTTCCTGGTGACTTCATGAACTTGTCTATGATTATGTAATTTTCTTGGCAGCAACACGAAAGTGGTGTGCCATTTATTTGTTTCGGGAAGTTTCTATCAACTTGACAAGCTTATCTACATCTCTTGAATTCCCCTGAGATCTCCCATTCACATATACTGTACTAACTTTGAGCTTCTAAATCCAGAGAAGGTTGGTCAGATGCTGCCACCTGCTGAGACTGCCAAGATAATGCAGCCTGCTAAAGGCATGCCAGACTGCAATGAAGAGCATGGCACTTTTCAGAGATCCAACCTTGCCAAGATGGAACTAAAAGTAGTTCTCCCTCTAAAATAGGGTAAGTAACTTATAAGGATGCTCATATAAGTTGTGTACTGACTGTACTTGTGAGCAAAATTGAGCTCAACCACAATAACTACTGATACATCTTGCTTCCCCTATCCTCAGGAACGTACCTTTTTAGTGGATGAAAATAGTGACAACAAAGATGGCACAATGGACTTTCGGATGTTGGTGGAATGATTTTTTTCTTGCATAAAAATGGGGGTTCATGTCCTAGAAACTAACAACAGATGTGTTATTTGAAGACCCTCTAGCAAGGCGCAAGGTTATGTGTGACGTATGCTCTGGGCTGGTATATGTTACTGGTAGCACTGGTTTTCCCTTTCCATGCTCATCATGGGATGATTTAAATTCTGTAGATCACACAAATGATACACTTAATTAACCCAAGTAAGATTAGTTTTGGCCCTCTGCCCCCATGTACCCCTTGCTTAGGATAGAAATATTCCTCCTGGTTGTTTTATTTATTTTTCTTTTAACGACCCTGTAATCCCTTGCATTGGGGTGGAGTCAGGGCAACTGAATGGAGCTGAGTGTATACTGGCTGGACACCTACAAGGAGCTCACAGCAGATATTTTCTGCTTTGTACCCAGAGAGAGAAATATCTGCCACTACCTAGGACTGAACTCACAGCCTCCTGATTGTTCTAGGCCACCACGCCACTCCCCTGATTGTTTCATTAATTCCTCTGTATTGTTCTAAAACGTGATCTTACCAGGAATTAAGTTGACCTCTCTCATTCTAAAAGTGATAACAGTGTCCTAAAGACATGTGAAAAGGGGGGCATCTTCACAAACTCTCACTGCATTGTCCATAGTTTTCACAAATCAACAGCTACATGGTAAGTAAAAAAAGAACAGCAAGTGGTAAAATAGATACCATAATTCCCCTGTCCTGCAGTCTGTCCACAGGAGTACCAATCCTCATCTGAGTTTTTACACTGTTACACACCTACAATGTAGGTAAACATAAATTAAAAAATGAAGATGTCAAGGAGAGAAGTAGCACCTTCCCAGCCTCTTTAGCAGCAAGTAGAAGACGCGGTGGCTCAGTGGCTAAGACACTGAGATTGTTGGTGGAAAGGTTGGCAGTTCAGCAGTTTGAATCCCTAGTGCCACATAACCGGGTGAGCTCCCGTTACTTGTCCTTGTCCCAGCTTCTGTCTACCTAGCAATTCAAAAGCATGTAAAAAATGCAAGTAGAAAAATAGGGACCACCTTTGGTGGGAAGGTGACAGCGTTCCGCGCACCTTTGGCATTTATTTATTTATTTATTTATTTATTTATTTATTTATTTATTTATTATTCAAACTTCTATACCGCCCTTCTCCTTTCGGACTCAGGGCGGTGAACAGCCAAAATAAAAACATTTATACATAAAGTTACAATTAAAAATAAATTTAAAATAATTAAATAAATTTGGCCCGTAATTTAAAACTTGTCAATTTAAAATCCGTATCAAATTTTAAAGTCATGCCGGCCACATGACCAATGGAGATGTCTTCGGACAGCACTGGCTCTTCGGCTTTGAAACGGAGATGAGCACTGCCTCCTAGAGTCGGGAATGACTAGCACATATATGCAAGGGGAACTTTTACTTTTACCTTTAGGAGAATAAAACTGGCTGCCCTATTACAGAGCCATGCAACCTGTACTGAACACTGCTAGCTCACAAAGATTATCCTGAAGATCAAGAAAGGGGATGCTGGGCTGGTTGTGTTATGGAAACACAGCCACTGAGAAGCACAGATCTATCTGGAAAATATAAAAATGAAGAAGAGCAGTTAAAGGGCCACATACCATATATTCTCAATCATTAGGGGTTGAGATTGACTTGAGAGAGTCCAGCTTTTTACTCTTGCATGATCCACAGTTTACCTAATTTTTTTCTCCTTTTAAGGTAATGGGAATTTGTTAAGCTTCCGGAATATATCTATATTTATAGTTAGCTTGTCCATCAAGTGCCACATTGGGTGTAACTATTAAATCAGTGTTCAAACAAGCCATCTGTGCATTTAGATCGTACATCCTGAAGATCCAAATCTACCTTACAAAGACCAATTTACCCAGCCATTATCAAAGAGAGCTTTGTAATTAATTTCAAATATTAAAATCAGTGGGTAAACTTTTTATTGACCATATTATTTACTCCTTAAACTATTAACATGCGCAGATGGTTTGTTTTGAGTTTGAATTACATCATTCAGAATAAATGGTCCCAAAGATAACCAGGAGTTGAGTCAGGGATGGCTGTAAAGGTAACAATCAGATCTTGAATTGAACACAGAAAGAATCTGGTAACTAGTTGAGTTCTTGAAGCAGAAGTGTTAGATGAGAAAAATAATTGGTGGCCAAACTGCCCAAACAATGGTATTGTAGGTCAGTTGAAGCTTCTGGAAATATCTTCAATTTCAGCCTATGTCCAGTGCCTTGCAGTAGTCCAAATGAGAGGTCATTAAAGCATGAGTGGCAGTCAAAATGACCTCCTGATCCAGGAAATATTGCAACTCAGGCACAAGATGGTGCTGCTCTCATAGTCCTATGAGCCCAGGAGAAACATTAGAAACACATTAGAAACCAGTTCTGCCGAGGGAAGTGCAGCACCATCCAGGAATAAAGATGCAATGACTTGGAGTGCTTTGAATGACTTGGGATACTGGAATGCTTCCACACCTGAAGTCACTCTATTCTACTGCGATGAAACTAGGTCTGTTCATCCCCATCTAGAAAATAATCTCCAGGCATTGAGACCACATCAGCTGTTTGGCCCGAAATTAAGATATACAATTGAAAATTGATGATACGTGGCTCCATATTGGCAGGTGAGTTCTTCCAGTGGTTTCATGCAGATATTAAAGAGGAAGGATAAAATGTCACAGAAAAGCCTTGATAGTACAGTGGTTTAATGCACCCTGTTATTAACACAGCTGCCTGCAATTTCTGCTGGTTCGAATCTCTCCAAGGCTCAAGGTTGACTCAGCCTTCCATCCTTTCTAAGGTAGGTGAAATGAGGACCCAGTTTGTGGGGGCAATAAGCTGACTTTGTATAAAATATACAAAAGAATGAAGGCTATTGCTTAACGCATTGTAAGCCGCCCTGAGTCTCCGGAGAAGGGCGGCATATAAATCAAATTATAAAATTATAAATTTATAAAAAAATTATAAAAAAAAAATATAAGTATAATGGCAGAAAGAATGAAAAAGATTTTAAATAATTGGATATACAAAGACCAGAACGGATTTTTACCGGGGAGACAAATTAGGGATAATTTGAGAATCGTGCTAGATACATTAGAGTATTATGAAGAACACCCCGGAAAACAGATGGCTCTGATCTTTGTCGATGCTCAAAAAGCATTTGACAATCTAAACTGGAAATTTATGATTAAACAAATTGAGATTATGAAATTCGGAACAAATTTTGAAATGATGATTAAATCTATTTATAATAACCAAAAGGCGAGCATCCTGGTGAATGGGGATAGGACCAAAACATTCCAAATTAGTAAGGGAGTAAGGCAAGGTTGTCCCCTATCCCCCTTATTGTTTATTTTGGCCCTAGAAGTTCTTCTCCGGAAAATTAGAACTAACGAGGAAATAAAAGGATTGAAGATTAGGAAGGAGACCTACAAGACGCAAGCATTTGCGGACGACGTAGCTCTAATCCTTGAAGACCCCATAGAATCAGGACCTAAAGTATTAGAGGAATTAAGTAAATATGGAGAGGTGGCAGGCTTTATACTGAACAAAACTAAAACCAAAGTATTGATCAAGAACACAACCGAGAGCCAGAAAAACGAGATAGAAGAAGTATTAGGATTACAGGTTGCCAAAAAAATTAAATACCTAGGAATTTGGATTACATCAAGATGTTCGACCCTGAAAGATGACAATTATATTCCCTTAATTAGAAAAATGAAACAAGACCTAGATAGCTGGAAAAAAATAAGATTATCACTCTTGGGCAAGATAGCCACAATTAAGATGAACATCCTCCCCAGAATATTATTCTTATTCCAAAATATACCGATAAATTTAGATAAAATTTTTTTTTTAGAATTAGACAAAATCATCAGGGAATTTATATGGGAGGGGAAAAAATCGAGATTTTCCATTAAAATTTTAAGGGGCAAAAGAGATATAGGCGGATTTGGACTCCCGGATTGGGAAACATACTACAGGGCAGCTAAGCTAGTTTGGTTAAGAGACTGGATCACCCTGGAAAATGAGAGGATTCTCACTTTAGAAGGCCATGACTTGCAAAAAGGCTGGCATGCCCACATTTGGGACACGGAGAAGAAAAGGAAGACACATTTCCATAGACATAAAATTAGAGACTCCCTGATACAAACATGGACTCAGATTAGGCAGAAATATTACAAAAAAATTCCAAATTGGCTCTCAACGATGGAGGCCCTAACCCACCCAAATAGGTGGGAGAGGGAGAAAATGGGCAGATACAAAGATATTTTGGACGAAGGAGGGAGGCTTAAGCCAAATGACACTTTACGAGAGCAAGGAATAA